CCAAGAGGGAATGGTAGGGTGAAGAGGGACCAGCGGCCTGTGCTTGAAATCACCATGAACTTGACAATTGTGGCACGATCTAGCCACCTGAAGGCAGTCTGCCATAATGCCGGGCCAGTAGTATCCTGCTAGACGTATACTATGATACATCTTGGCCCATCCTTGGTGCCCGCCACAGACTCCATGATGCATCTCCTGGAGGATCTTCTCGGCTTCACCTTGATTGACGCATCAAAGTAGGACCTCCTGTCCATGAGACCGCCTGTATAGGACACCTGCTTCATAAAGACAAAAGGGGAGTCGTCGTTGTAGTTGGCGTCTCGCGACGGGGTCGTCGGGGATGCTGGCATGCTTGAAGTAGTCGAGGAAAGGTTGCAGCCACTCGTCTTCCTCCACGGTGTTTGTCATGATGGAGTTGACTTCGTACTCCGCCGGGATAAGCTCCAGAACAACTGGGAGGAGCCACCTTTCTTCAACATTTACCTGCATGGTTTTATTATCTGGGAGCACCAGTGCTGCCGCTAGTTTTGCCAAGGCATCAGCAGGCGCATTTCTGCTTGGGGGACATGGAGCACTTCAACATGTTGAAATGTTTCCATTAGGTTCCGGGCCGCAGTGTAGTACGGCACCAGTTCAGGCTTGCGAACTTCATAGATGTTGTTGACTTGACGAACAATGAGCTGGGAGTCACCAAAGGCCCGTAAAGAAGGGACATCCATGGAGAGTGCTAGGAGAAGGCCGAAGATGAGCGCCTCATACTCCGCTTCATTATTTGAGCATTCTTCTTTGAGGAGGGAAAATGAGTGATACATCACCCCTCCTTGTGGTGTCTTGAACACCAAACCCGCGCCTGCCCTTCGTCTTGGGGCTCTATCAACATCGGCGTCCATGCGATAGGCGCCGTCAAAATAGAGCTCCCACGGTGCATCGAGGTCGATGGTGAAGACCTCCTTGTCAGGAAGGTTAATGATGATGTGGTGGGATAGAAGGGTGGAGCGGTACATCCATCGCTCGGGCGATGCTTAGCCATATCCCTCCGACTTGTCAATGTCCGATGATGAATATGTCTGGCCTCGTCGGCTCAGAAAGATGGGCGGCCTTTGCCTCATGGTGTCCGCCTCGTTGGTGTCGGACTGGATGTCTTGCCTTCGCCTCGTCGGTGCCCGACAAGATATGGATAGCTTTCATCGAAGAAAGACAAGACGGTGAAGTGGCTTCGCCTCATCGGAGCTTGGATGATGCTGAGGAAGAGTGTTAATGTAGAAGTCATAGTAGACTTGAGTGTCGCCGCGCGGCGGCTTTGCTTGAAGATGACGACAGTACGAGCTCGTCGATGTAGACTTCAGGTCATCACAGTTATGGAGACGACCTCCGCTCGATGTAGACGGTTGGCATAGAAGAATGACGACGTGCCGGTGCAGTCGGCGTCCTCGCCGGATGATAAGCCAATGAAGATGGCAAATCATGTAGGCGTTCGGACGAGACGCTGTGGATGGCGTCCTTGCCAGCTGAAGAGTTGATGAGGTTGGCGACTCCATGTCGGTGTAGGTGCGGTGCACCGAGGTGGTTAGCGTCCTCGCCGAATGAGATGTCGATGAAGATATCGATGTTATGTCTATGTAGGTACAAGGCGGCGTGTCGAGGTAGTCAACACCCTTGCGTGGATGTGAACTCGATGAAGGTGTCTATGGCGTCTCAATGAACTGGCCTTCCTCGCCGAGCCAGAGGTTGATACCAATCGCACCGACGTGGTTAAGGTAGTTAGCACCCTCGCCGGGTGAGAAGTCGATGAAGGTGTCAGCATCCAATCAATGAAGCGGTCTTCCTCATCGAGTCGGAGGTCGATGGAGACGACTCCAACATGGTCGCGGGTGGTGTAGATGGCGCCGGGCTACAGGCTGGCAGCTCCGACACTGTCGTGGCAGTGTAGATGGTGCCGGGTCGCACGCCGGCAGCCCCTCCAATGTTGTCGCCGAGCCGGAGTTGTCGCCAAGCTACTCGCTGGCAGCTTCGTCGATGTCATCGTGGAAGCGTACATGGAACCGTGACTGCCGGCGCGTCATCCGCGACCATGTATTCCGGCTACTCTTGTACTCACGACAGGGTCGACGTCCATTGGCGCACGTATTGCTGCCTCTGGCTGTGCGTGCATCCTCTTCCAGAGCATACTCTGTGTCATTGCTGGTTGAAAAGAGGGATGTCAAGATAGAAGCAATGAAGACTAAATATGAATGCATGCCATTGATGAAGACGGATGCAGTGACTCTAGTCTTCTCCTCGTTGACATTGAGGTAGATGACGGTAGATCTCTAGATGTTGGCTTCCTCCTCCTCGTGTGGACACGGCTTCACCTTTTCACCTGATGATGGATGCCTTTGCTGCTTCACCGGCTGGACGTACACCCTGGTCATCAGCGTGCCATCTGTGGCCATCTTGGGCATGTGCGCACACTCCGTCTAGGGCGCTCTCTGCGTCGTCGCTCCCGGATGGGTGTCGATGTAGTGTGTTTGTGTAGATGGAAGAAGGCACTGCTAGACGGTCCTCCGGTGTCATCGTGGTACGTCTATGGCCTCCATCCACGTATGTACTCGCTGCCTCCTAGGTTGCTCGGTGAGCATGCTGTCACCGTGGCCGCAGCTTTGCAATCTCCTCGCCGCTGCCGCTGCGGGCGCATCTCCACCTGGCTTGTGTGTTGCCCCTCCTAGGGCGTACTCTGTGTTGCCGCTCCCGAGTGTTCGTCCGGCTAGTGGATACGCTGAAATAAGAGGAAAACAAAGAGAAAGAAAGAAGACACATGAAGACATCTCCTTGAAGATGGACGCCATGAATTTGTTCTTCCCTCAGTCGCTGATAGATGATGGAGCAGCCTTGGATGTCAGCCTTCTCCTTCTTGCTTGTGAACAACTACACTTCATCACCGCGTGGGTGGTCTGGCTCGGGGCGTCTTCCACGGTTCGAGGAAGAGAAGATGGCGCCGGGCTGCACGCTGGCAGCTCCGACGCTGTTGTGGTGGTGTAGATGGCACGGGGCCACACGCGGCAGCTTTGCCAACATCGTCGCCGAGGCGAAGTTGGCGACGAGCTACTTGCCGGCAGGCTCGCCGCCACCGTCGTGGTATGTCCATGGAGCTGCAGTCGCTGGTGCGCCGTCCACAGCTGCCTTGGGTGCAAGTGCACCAAGGGCGCTCTCGCCCAAGTCCTCCTCGCTAGAACTGTGCACCATCTCGGACGTTACCGGTGCTTCCCACCTGCATGGACCAACAAAGGAATCTTGATAGGATTTTTACAAGTCACCCAGCCTCTTAATTCTTGGCTACGACACACTCTTAGATAGAGCGTTGTCTTTGAGTGAAGAACCATGGGCATAAAATATGCCTCGTGTTCCATAAATCCGCCTTATCTCCGTGCCCTAGGATCAATGAATTGGGCAAGAAAATAGCAGCATCTCGAGGCCATGAATTTGGCCCCAAGGCTTTGCTGATGATGAGGAAAATTAAGATTGCACCCTAGATTGGAACCATGCATCCCATATGTTGGAGAAAAGCTTGACGACGAATTCGACAACCACAACTCAGCAGAGATGGGAGAAGAACCGGGTCCCACCAGGCGTGCCAATTTGTTTGACACGAGAAAAATCTTATTGTGCACTCCGTAAAATGGGAAGAGGGGGAGTTTGATTTCTCTCATGCGCCGGGGAAAAGAAAAGTGTGTGGGCGTGCCAGTGTACTCAATACACAAAAAAATGGTATGGGAAGCAAGTATTTCATTAATCTCATCGGATAAACAAAATTACAAGATCCCATAAAAAAGGAATGCACTCTGTGGCCTACTAGCGCGGCCTGCCTGACTATGGCGATGTGCGGTCTCCTGGTTCCCGGGGCCTCGAAAATCTCCCGGTTAATTACTCCCGTGGGTTGATCCGCGAGATACCTCCGATTAAGCCGTGTGGTCGTCTTTGTCGTCTTCGCTTTCTGTTCTCCATGCATGATGATGATGGTGTGTGTGTATGGTGTGGGCGGCGGCAAAGCCCGTGTCCTCGTCGGTACACGTGCCGCTTAAACATGGCTTTGTGTTGGCCACGTTCGCCCGCGCCGTCGCGCCTCGTCGGTCTTGACAACGTTGATGTAGTCGGTGTTGAAGTTGCATGGGTCCTGCTCAGCTCGGACTTCTTTACGATGTAATGGCTTCATCGGGTATGCAAGGGGTTCGCCTCGCGGGAGTATTCTTATGGATACCAATGTCGGTGTAAAACCAACGCTCGCTCGTATCGGCAGTGCCGGTGTGGTTGGCGCCTCGGCTCGGCTGGACGCCGTGTTTATGGCGGTCCTCCAAGACAAGGGCACCGCCTCACGAGGCCATCAGGAGTTAGTGTTGGTGAAGTCACGTCGCCTCCTCGCCATCACGCCTCGTCTTCACGGGCTCCGGGTCGTGGAGACCGTCATGTGGCACCATCTTCTCCTCCAGGTCACGGACGGCACCAAGGGTGTGTGTTATCTTCTTGGCTCCGTGTTGTGGGCTCCATCTTGACGAGGTAGACTTGGTGGTGATGTCCCACGAGCTCCATGCCTCCGGTCCAACTTGATGATGTTGACATTGATGGTGTCCTCCTTGTGAGCTCCACGCCACGATTCTCCGCGGTACCGGGTGTTGGCGCTGGGCCACGTCTTGGCGAGCTCCGAGCCGCCATCCAAAGTGGCACGGTGGCGGCATCGTTGTGAGCCTACACGCATTTGTCCTCCAATGGCACCGACTTGATGAAGAAGATGACGGGCGTCGTCCTAGCGAGCTCCGTCTCGCCATCCTCCGCGGCACGCGGCACCATCCCTACGTGCTCCGCGCCTTCGGGCTCCAGCTTGACAAAGTAGATGTTGGCGGCATCCTCAATGGGCGCCACGCCTCCGTCCTCTAGCTCCAGCATGACGAAGTGGATGGCGGGCGTCCTTCTTGTGAGCTCCCCGTCATGATCCTTGCGGCACCAGGTTGATGCTGTTGAAATTGGCATCATCTTGGCAAACTCCATGGCACCATCGTCCCGAGCCTCCACGCCTTCGTACTCCATAGCGCCAGCTTGATGAAGAAGATGACGGGCGTCGTCCTAGCCGGCTCTATCTCGCCATCCTCCGCGGCACGCGGCACCATCCCTACATGCTCCGTGCCTCCAGGCTCCAGCTTGACGAAGTAGACGTCGGCCGCATCCCCAACGGGCGCCACGCCTCCGTCCTCTAGCTCCAGCATGTCGAAGTGGATGGCGGGCGTCCTTCTTGCGATCTCACCATCATGATCATTGCGACGCTGAGTTGATGGTGTTGACATTGGCGTCATCTTGGCGAACTCCGTGCCGCGATCCACCGCGGCACGGCGGCGTCATCCTCCGTTGTACTGTAGAGACAGAAGAGGGTGTGCTAACGCTCCTTCGTCAGCGCCGCCGGTGTATCCGTCGAGGGCGCTACCGTGCTCCTCCTTGGCGCACATGCCTTCACCGTGGGCATGTCCTCCACAAGTGCATCTCCCTCCTGGGTGTGTGTTAGACTTGCATGTAGTCGCTCCGCCGACTGCGTTTGCTGGGTGAAGCCTTTGCCCTTCTCCCGCCTCGGACCCTCTGCAAAATAGCTGAGAACACATAGAAAAAGAAAGATTACTGTGACTTTGATACACGCCGCCGCCATGGATGCGTCCACTGCCATGGACGCGTTCTCCTGAGTGCACAGCCCATCTTGGTCTCTTCAGGTAAAAACGCCACCTGCCACGTCTAGTTGTGTTTGCCGCCTGAGTTCTATGGACGCCGCCGCCACGGGCGCGTCTCCTTCTCCCGTACATAGCCCTCTTCTCCTCCTGTGCCTCCTCTCTGTGTTTGTATTTCTGGCCCCTGGTAAATTAAGAATGGAAAAAAAGAAAAATAAACAAGGGCATCCATCGTACGTGAGCCACGCAACGACCGTGAGCGTTGCCGTCGCCGGCCGACGCATTTTCGTGCTTGGACGGGGTGCAGTTGCCGCGTCCACATACCCCGGTCTTCTCACATGTGTGGTGCTCTGTAGCGAGCGACGCCGCCTTACATGCCGCCGCCGTGGGCGTACCTCTCCTGGCTGGCCGTCTCCTCTCGTCTGTATGCGTGCAGGAGCCTACGCGAGGTGTTGTTGCCTCGCCGGCTGCCTCTTCTTGCGTGGGTTGCCTGCTTGGATTGTTGTAACACCTGTAATATGAAAGATAAGAAGTACAATAAATTAGTGGGGCTTGCTCTGCTCCCTATTCTCCACCCCGTCAGGCGTCGCTTTGCTTGCGGGCGCGCTCATCGCTGCCATCGAGTGTGTGCCTCTGCGTCGTCCCTGCCGTCATCACCGCATCTTTGTTGGCTTGCGTGCCACCGCTGCTGCAGGCGCGTCCGCTCCGTGGCTTCTCTTCTCCTGATGCTTCTTCTGGTGCGTGAGTCATCGGGTGTTTTTTCTTCGGTCTCCTCGACGCTGCCGCAAGAGGCGCGCCTCCCTCCGACTTCTCTCGACTCTCTCCTCTGCTGCATTCTTGGATGGATGTGCGGCACCTGATAGATAAAATACACAATAACAAATAAAATTAATCAATGGGGCTCATCTCCTCGGGCGTCTGCATCCTCGCCGTGGGCAGGCCGCCGTTGTGGCCGGCGTTTCTGGGCTCATCACATCTGATGCCTACGAACGCACGGCCGCGGCCGTGCTGTTGTCTTCTCGGCTGCGTTTGTTGTTGCACCAGCTATGCTAGCTAGCTCCTCCCTTTCTGGTGCCTTGGTTGGCTAGCTTATATAGGCTGCGGTGTTGGACGAGTAGAGTTGCACCGTCCCAATATTTCCTTCTATTGTTTCTCTTGACGTCCAAGTCTGTACATATAAAAGGAAATGATCAACCCCATATATACCATGTTAGTTAGCGCGTACCTTTTTTTTATGTGGTTCTGTGGTCGGTTGTATCCGTTTCCAATTCTTGATGGCTTGCCAAATATACGCACATAGGCTGCTCACGTGAGCCTATCATCTGATTCTAGTCTCCTATGTGTTAGATTGCACCCATCGAAGACACGCCCATATATCATGTACCTGTCCAAATATCAAAAGAAGGAAACGAAGTACATGTATATCGGGTATTCGGAGAAGTATGCGTGCGCACTCACCGGCCAGACGTAGATACTCGAATACGTACCTATATGATGTATGCATACAAACAGGTATTCGGATATGTAACGCGAGCTTGCCGATATTCAAATACGATAACTATGTATATGTGTCTAAGCTAAGCTACGTGTCTAGACTAAAAATGCCCACTGCCAGGACGTGTGTGCACATGCACATGTAGTAGTTGCACCATGATTTCCTGCATGTGCCTGTTCAAGTACGTGCAGGTATGTGCCATGCAATGGCATTTTGCCTTTGTATTATTATCCACTTGCCTTTGCACAGATAACCTGCATCAAAACTCATTGAAAATAAAATTATTATTTTATGCAGCAATGCACAAAATACCGTCGAACAACAAATGCTTGCTTTTGAACAAAAGACAGATGCCATAAAGTGAGTCTCCTGCGAACATACATTTGATCCCCTGTTCGGCTCTTTCTTCCACCGAACAGTGTATCTGGGGCTACCACCTATACTATGACACTCTCCGGAACCCCCACAAAACATACCTCAAAACCCGTTATAAGGCTGATGTAGGCTTCATCCAGTCCACTCTCAGCAGACCGAATCTTCTCAATCACCGCACCCATAAGGGCACGGTATTCATCAATGATAGAGGCGCTTTTCAGCACCGTCGATAAAGTATCCGGCACCTCTGGTTGGACAGAGGTTTCCGGTGGAACAGGCACACCCCCTTCAACCGAGGGAGGCCGCCTGCCTGATTCTGGAGCCGTATTGGTCTCCAGAATTGCGTCCGGCTGGGGGCCGAATTCAAGATGGCCCCCACCGTCGACGTCCATGGGAGCCTCCTTCTCTCCCATGTGTCCGGCGCCTGAAGTTTGACCTCCTGGCGCCGCCTTTACGATCTTTCCCCCCTCCTTGGCCTGGGTCCTTCTGGCACGAAACCTCGGTGTCATTCACATGTTTGGGGGTAGATGCCTTCGTGGGTGTCCCGCTCTCCATAGTATTCGAGCCCAACAAATCCTCCGACGAGGATTGTTAGGTGCGGGACCTCGCCGGACTGCAAAAAGTATGGCTCAGATTAAAATATTATGCCATGAAAAGTCTGGACGCGTAAACGTGTTCGGATTTTATATATTCATGAGTTCACCATGGGCTGGGCCCTGGGATCCCACTCCGGGCTGCCGTCGGCAGCGGCGGTGGACTCCTCTGGAAGGGGAGCTTTTCCCTTCTTAGGCGACTCGGCCTCCAAAGACGTGGAGGCCGTCCTTTTCTTTCCTCCCCTCGCTGGGGACGGGTCTTCCTCCTCTTCCTCGTCCTCTCCGGAGGAAGATCGGGCATCGGAGTCTTCGGATATTGTGTCCGAAGTGCCACGGCGATGAAGGCCGCCCCTGGTCCTTTTGGCCTCCTTCTCAGCCTTCTTCTTCGGCGCCTTGTAAGGCGCCGGGACCAGCATCTTTGTCAGAAGTGGGCTGGCCGGTTCTTCCGGCAGAGGGGCCGAACAGTAGATCCGCCCCGCCTTCTTCGTCCAGCCCTAGGAGAGTTGTGGAAAACACATTAAGCATGTTCCTCAGGATATGCGAATAAAACATATGAATTGCCAACATACAGTGACTTACCGAACTTGCAGGGCGGGACAGTTGGTACACGCGGTCCTCGGCGGAGTCCGGCCACAATTTGCCGGACTTAAAAAGCACCTTCCAGATGTCCTTGTGCAAGGAGCCAAAGAGCTCCAGTAGGGTCTGGTGCTTGGCCGGATCGAATTCCCATAAATTGCAAGCTCTGTGTTGACAAGGAAGAATCCGGCGAACTAACATCACCTGGACTACATTGACGAGTTTGATATTCTTGTCTTCCATATCCTTGACGCGCGTCTGGAGCACCGATAGTTCGTCGGACGAAGACCAGTTCAGGCCCTTCTTGGGCCAGGATGTAAGCCGCAGGGGGGCTCCGGATCTGAATTCCGGAGCAGCGGCCCATTTCGTGCCGCGTGGCTCAGTGATGTAAAACCACTACTGCTGCCACTCTTTGACGGAATCATTGAAAGTACCTGTTGGCCATGTGACGTTGGGAATCTTGCTCACCATGGCGCCTCCGCACTCGGCGTGCTCGCTGCTCACTACCTTGGGCTTCACATTAAAGATCTTCAACCATAAGCCGAAGTGTGGCGAGATTCGGAGAAAGGCCTCGCACACGACGATGAATGTCGAGATGTTGAGGAAGGAATTGGGGGATAGATCATGAAAATCGATCCCGTAATAATACATGATGCCGCAAACGAATGGGTGGAGGGGAAACCCTAGCCCGCGGGCAAAATGAGGGAGGAATACAACCCTCTCGTGGGGTTCTGGAGTAGGGACGATCTGTCCCGCCATCAGAAGACGGTGGCTGATTTTCTTGGCGAGATACCCGACCTCCCGAAGCCTTTTGATATCCTTCTCCCGGACGGTACAGGCCATCCACTTGCCTCCTGCTCCGGATCCGGACATTTTTGGAAGACCTTTGTGGGCGGAGAAGACGAACCCTTGGGCGCTAGAACTCGAGCGAGGGGGAATGGATGAGCAGAGGAAGAAGAATGCGTGGGCTAAAAAGGGAGTCATTATCCCCTTATAAAGGTAGCAGGGATCCAGCGCCTCCCCACTTGCCCGGTAAACTCGCTTATTCCCCAAGCGCCGCGTTGATGGCGCGGTTGGGTTACCCACACCTGTATTGATGAGAATCCCATGATAAGGGGACACGATCTCTGCTTCGACAAGACGTGCCAATAAAACCGCCTCGCGATATGTGCGGTAGCAGGTTGGGAATTGGTTCGAATAATGATCGGGCCACGACGTGATGTCACGCTATGAAAAGTTGTTAGCAGATTAGATTTGTGGGATATTGTGCTCTCTACGGTGGTATGTGGAAATTATTTTGCAGAGCCGGACACGATCCTTGTGTTCAAAATCTTTTATGGAGTATTCGGAGAAGGAACCCGCCTTGCAATGTCGAAGACAATCTGCGAGCTGAACTCATCGTCATTGAAGCCTGGTTCAGGGGCAACTGAGGGAGTCCTGGATTAGGGGGTCCTCGGACAGCCGGACTATATACTTTGGCCGGACTGTTGGACTATGAAGATACAAGATTGAAGACTTTGTCCCGTGTCCGGGTGGGACTCTCCTTTGCGTGGAAGGCAAGCTTGGCAATTCGGATATGTAGATCCCCTTCTCTGTAACCG